CCTCTTGCCACTATACAGAGGTGTATATTGATGACGTACATTTACTTTGTTGCTATACTTAAGTTTTTTGAGGATTTGTACCTTTTTAAATTGTAACTTTTATTTTAATATTGTTATTCAAAATATGAAAATCATACTTCTTTACTTAAAAATTTAACACCTTATAACACACTGCAAATTTAAATATGACCAGAGCTCATCATGAAAAGAGTTGTTTATGCAAAAAATGAAATGTTTAGTAAATGTAAAGCTCAGTTTAGTAGAACTAGCTGATACTTGGTTAAGTAAATTCAACTCTTCCTTTCTGGAGTGTATAAAAGTACTTTCCAAATTATTGTGAGCAGTTTTATATTTTTAGGATTTTTCTTCACTTACTGAGAACTACTTATTTACAGACTGGAGATAATTTGTGCATTGACTGGATGACCGACCATACAAGTATTTTTTATTTTCTTGAGGCAAAAGAATGTAATGTGACAGTTTATTTTATTTTATTTTTTTTCAGTTTTGTGGCCATGGTGACAGGTTTTGTTCTCAGTAATCACACCATTTTATTAACAGAAAAACATTTTTCAGGTTTACTACCACATTCTGACCACATTACTCATTCTGTTTGTCGCCCTAAACCAGATAATTTAAACATGTTTGRCACGCATTTCCTCTTGAGCAACATGCAGCAGTTAATTTTTACAGCTACGTGACACAGAGTTAGAGACGGTTCTTTTTGTATTGTTTGTCGAGCCTTTAACAGGAAAGCCAAGTTTTCTGCTGTTAGGGATTAATCTCGGCTTAACTGCATGTAGATTTACCAGAGTTGTTTTACTCTCCATGAAATCCTTTCAGTAAATCTACAGATGTTTTCTTGTAATTCACATCATCCTGGTGTTTGTTTTCAACAAATGATTCATTATCTAAAAGCCTTTTTTAGTTCTGTCTGGTGAGGACTTTCAGGAGTTGCTCATTAGGATACCTGGTTGTTCCCGACACAAGAACATTGTCAGAAAGCCCTTTTAGTCCAGGAGGGGTTAGGCTTGAAGCAAAGCTGGAAATTTACTGTCGTTCAGTTAATCCTGCTTTGGTTATCTGTGAGCCTTTCAGGCTGTGTTAAGAACTGACACTCTGAATATTAGGGGTGCAACAATACATGTACCCATCGAACACTGCTTTAGGTTCAATACAAACAATACAGATTTTTAAAATTTATTTTATAAACTTGTCTTCTGAAGATGCTCTGTGTTGAAGGATCAGTGGATCTGTGTTCGACTACTCCACCTAGGCTGCATTTTTGAGCGCAGGTCCACTGAGAAACTTGCTGTTTCAGCAACAGTTAATTTAAAAACTACTTTTGAAGTTAAACAAATGTTCATAATTAATTTAAATAAATTACAAGTTAAAAGGGGCATGGTAATTTATCTTTTGTATCGAAAAAATATTGAACCGTGAGACTAAAGTATCGAAGCGAACCGAATTGTGAGTTTTCTGTATCGTTGCAGCCCTAATATATATGTATATTTATGTGTATGTATGTA